ATATTACCAGCAATAAAAATCTTGTTGGCATTAACCCGTTGAGGTTGATATGCCACAAAACAAACCAAAATCAAATCTAGTTTTAGGGGCAAGTCAATACAAATGTAATGTATGAGAGTGGGCTTAAAATGTACAGAAGGATGCTGAGAATATCATGGCCAGAACATGTAAGCAATGTGGAAATTTTAAGGATATTTGGGAACGAAAAGGACAATTGTACTAAGAATCAAGGAGAAACCATGGAAATTTCTGGGACACATAATGAGGGAAAGAGGACTTGGATTGGACACTCATGGGATAAATGAAGGCAAGGAAGTCAGAGGTATACAAAGTGTGTGTAAATGGATGGCGGAACAAGAATTGGCAGAGACAGTAAGATGGCAAACAGTGCTTAGAGCTACAAAGAATAGGAAGTTGTGGAGAGCCATGGTCACTCACTCTGAAGAGATACAACAGATAAAAGAATAATACAGATCAAAATATCATCAGTGAATCATGGGAAGTAACTGCTATGTAAAATGGAAATAGATTGTTGTATGTATGTCTTTAGTATTATAGAATGTTTCATTTTCAAAACACAGTCAACATATTATGTTCATTTTCATAGTTGATATTACTGAGTGTTGTTTTTTTTTGCTTTTATTAATAAGGGTTCCATTCAAGAATCTATTTCCAGTTAACCATTAATATATTTCATCCTTGAAAATGGCTAAATGTATAGCTGAAAGCACTCGGAAAAATATAACATTTGGACAGTTTTTGTATAATTTATTTGTTGAAAAGAAATAATTATATCATATGAGAAATTACATAAAAAACTTAATCTTGTCTATCATATTTAATGAAGCTTGTATATATATGTGTGTGTATATAGGTGAACTCTCTCATTATATTTGACGTATGAGGCTAAAGCAGCTCAGTTCCTAGGAACCGACAGCCCAGACACCAGCACATATGATTTGATTATAGTGGTGAAGGCTTTGTGCAGAACCAACCACACTTTTTGAAGGGCCGAATACAGAGACCTGGTGCACTACATGCCACAAGGTCCCCAAATGACCCTCCGCAGGTTTTGAATTTAGAGTTGTCCTTCTCCTAGACCAGTTTTCATCCAAGGCTATAGAAGCCAGTATATTCTACTATTTACCCATAGCTGGTGGGGAGAAGAAGAGGATTCATACCTTTCCCAAGGGTATTAGCATGTAAGTGAATGTAATGGATTTGACTGGAATTTGAACTTGGCTCTCTGATTCCTCAATCTGGGCCACTATGTAAGTGAATGTAATGGATTTGATTGAAATTCAAACTCGGCTCTTTGATTCCTCAATCTGAGCCACTATCCACTACTCCACTGTGCCATATATATATATATATATATATATATATATATATATATATATATATATATATGATAATAGCTAGCCACTCGTATTCGAGGATACCTGTCTACTAGGGTGGCTAGCCAATCCCTATTGCAGACGCTTGCTCAGGCGCATTTGTGTTTGTTCAACACCCATAGAACCCACCTGTGGTTTATACTGCAACTATGCTGAGCAGACCTTAGTTACAGTTTCGGGGAGTGAGCATGTTATCTAGCATGATCAACAATCTGAACAAAGCCAATACTCAAACCCTCAGTCATGATGACTTGTGACTTCATGCTAGCACAGCTAGCAATGACCCCAAGTATTCCCTCTGCTCAATTTCACTCACAAGACTTGGGTCAACCCATAGTATGCTTTTCAGGCACTTTCCAAAGGTGCTGCACGCTGAGATTGCCTCCCCCCCCTCCAGGCCGATAACATCAGAAAGTCTCCTTCCTGACAAATCAACCATGTTGAGATTCGAACCCAGGTCTCATGGTCAGAAAGTGAACCTTATAACCACTCACCAACGTGCCCACAATATATATTGATATTAACGGATTACAGGATATATATTGATATTAACATGTTCTCAACTAAATCAGTGACCCCGTTGAGTAATATTTTAATGAATAATATGGTAGATCCAATAGAGTTACTGTAAAAAAAGAGTGTATAAGTATGAATATACAAACAATTAACAAGAAGATGTTTTATTGTCTTAGCAAAGTAAATTGAAAAAATGCAAGAGGAGTGAATGAAACAGTATGTGTAGAGATGTTCTTATTGTACATACATGTGTGAATTCCTATGAAAGTTAGTGAAAATCTTAGATCTGAGAACCATTCTTTGTTGGTTTGTTAGAATTATTAAATATGCATGTGTATAAAAATATAAGCTTAGGGTATTTTAAGCTGCGTACTAGTCTGCATTTTGTTCAATTTGATATAAGGTCGGTTGAACTATCCTTTGTTGTGTTCCATGTGACCATATGGTCTACTGCACTGTTCTGTGTTATGCTCAGTGTGACATAAATTTTGTTGGTGACCAAAAATACCCCACACACGAATAAGATACATTTGATCTCTAAAGCATCTGATAGGAAAAGAGTGAAAAGAATAAGACATTGGTGTACTTTTATTAAATATTGCTGGAGCAAGGCCATTTAGTAATTAGAAGTTCTTTAGCAGACAAATGGGATAATATAACAGTATGTGTTCTGATACCAATTATATAGATACATGATATCTATGATACAGCCATCTATTCAACTTTGCCGTGAGTACATTAGATAACATAATCAGTAACCAATTAAAAACAAGTTATTTTTTTTCTTAATTGAATTTGTCATAATTTAAGGTCAATAATGTACCACTGTTTCAACATTATCTAATTTCATTTACTGGTTATTATATTTTAAAATGTTTTGTTTTTCAGTCAAGAAACTTCTTTTACACTCCTCTGATCCTAAACAGAATTGCCAGGGACTGAAACTACACTTTGATCCTAGTATTCATTAGCTTTCCTAGAAGAGCAAGTTCAGCTTAAATGTGGGGGATTGACATGTACAGGTGTAGATAAAGACAAAAATTACCCACAGACACTGGTGTCAGGATCCTCCAACATTCTCACAATGAGGGAGATATTGTTAGATTTCCCAGGACAAGGTTATGGATGTGTAGGTGGCATAATGGATTGCAGCTCAGAATGAGAAACTGAAGAGCTAAATTCAACTTCCAGGGTGTGTTACCTTCATTTACATGTAAAATACATTTGGGAAATGTATAAATTCATTTCCCTTCTAGATGTGGGTTTAATAGTATGATTGGTATCTGGAAATATTATAGTTATTCTCAAAAAATGTTAATAAAATATTCACTCAGCAAAAAAATAAGCAGAATTATTGTTACAATCTAAAATATGTTTTGACTTTAAATAATCCATAAAGGGTTGATAAGCTGTAAAAAATGAACAAATCAGTCAAATAAAAAAAAATAAGACTAGGTTCATTTCATCACACATTATGAATTTCCCAAAGACAGAAGCATGATGTCAAGAACTGGCATCGTAAAACAAGAAGAGGACAGGGCAGAATAGATACTATACATTGATCCTAAACTGTAGGTTAGTTAATGGAGCTATATCAACAGGATGTAATACAAGGCCAGCAAAAAGAAAACGGCACAAAGTCACACTCATGTTAGTATTCAGCACCCCTCCCACATTAGTGTAAATGCAATGAGGGAGATGCTGATGCAGGTTTAGGATCCCAAGGGTCAGGATTTTCTCATAACTTCTACATAAAATATATAATTTTTATTTTAGTCAAAATCTACAAATAGTCAAATATTAGGTAACCTTGCTTCTAGAATGTTATTGTATATAATATATATATAAATTATATACAAAATATATATAAATTATTGTCCAACATAGATTTCCTTGATTATTTAATTTTGATTTTCATAATCCAATATGCTAAATTTCTTGTTACATTTATTCATGTGAAAAAAGGATATGTGGGTGGTATAATACTTAGTGGCTCAAATGAGAAACTGGAGAGCCAAGTTCAAATTCCAGTCAGCTTTATTACATTCACTTACATGCAAGTAGCCTTTGGAAATGTATGAATCCATCTTCTCCCTCCAGCTATGGGTCAAACAGTAGATTATTGTCTAGAAAAAACATTGTTATACTCAAAAATATTGTTAATGCAATATTCACTCATAAAAAAATTATTCTTACAATCTTAACTATGTTTTGGTTTTAAACAAACCACAAAGGGTTGGTAAACCATAAAAATAAATAAAACAATCAAACACATAAAAAAGATAGGCACAAGGAAATCTGATTGTGTCAGATGTGGCTTAGCCAAGTCAATTTCTGTTATATGAAGAAAATGTTTTTTGGTTTAAGCATCAAATCAGAAAACTGTTGATCGCTTTATAACAAAAAACAAAAAAGTCCATAATGTCTAAATGGCTGCAAGAGGTACTTAACTACCATTTTGTTTGATTATACATTGAAGTAGCCATAACAGCATTAGTAGGCGATGAGTCATAATGTACTGGAGCACTGAACACAATTCTGAAGCAAATAAAATCAATAATAGGAGAAAATCTTGCATCCCCCGCAGACAGGATCCGTTTTGGGTGGCTTTTGTTTTCTTCATCTGGTTCTGCAGAAACTTGCACCACAATATTTTAAATAAATCACAGCCTGCTAGTTACAACCCTATTTTTAGCCGATAACTCGCTACTGGAGTAATAATAATAATAATAATAATAATAATAATATCTTCTTGTATACGCACAAAATATGGATTCATTAAAACTAATTTTGATATATTTGATTTAATTTTCATTATGCTTGACTTCTCTTTTTCGTGATAATGTGCCTATTTTTTTTACATACACAGAATAATAATGCAGCTTGTAAATTCTAATAATGGTTGTGACCAACTGGCAACTTGATTAGTCTCTCTCTAAAAAAAAAATAACTTACTGTAGGTTTTATTTAAAAGTACAGAAAAATAAATAAATAAGGATAAATAAAATACAGTAAATAAAAATAAAAAGAAGCTAATGAGTATTAATAAAAAATATACTTGGGGTTTTTGGAATTAGGTTTGCCTATCATCCAGTTCACACTCTACCCCACCGGATCACTGAAGTTAAGCAACATCAAGCCTGGTCAGTATCTAGATGGGTGACTGCTTGGGAATACCAGGTGCTATAAGTTAGGATGTGTGGGTAGTATAATGGGCTTATGGCAACATCACATTGAAACACGAGTTTCTGTATGATCATCAAAGTTAAGCAACATCTAGCCAGGTCAGTACCGAGATGGGTGACCTCTTAGGAATGGCGCATACTTTAAGCTTGGATGTGCAGGTAGTGTAATAGATTATGGCTTGGAATGAGAAATCAGGGAACAGAGTTTGAATTCCAGTCAGGTTCATTACATTCACTTATGAGCAAATACCCTTAGGAAAGATATGAATCTACCTCTTCTCCTCCATCTATGGGTAAGATAGTAAAACTTGTATCTGAAAATTATTATGTCCCAAAAAATGTTAATACAATATTCACTTGCAAACTAATATAATCTTAAAATATGTTTCTGTTTTAAATAACATACTCAGATTGATAAACCATAAAAAACAAACCAATCAATCAATCAAACTCATCTCCTGTTTTTTGAACAGGAGTAGAGGCTTATCCCTTGTTTCTTGTTTAAGATTGAGTTTCTATTTCCTTCTAAAGTCTTTTTTATTCTCTTTCACTCCCAGTAGTCCCTTGTGTCATAGTGGCATTATCACCTTTCTCATGTCGAATTGGTTAATATAAAATATACTCTGGATTTTGGGGAATTAGAAAATATTAATTTCGAAAACGATATATACATTATCCTGGGTCACTTATGACAAAAAATGTAAACACAAAAGATAGTTGTATATTTATAGTAAATATTTTCAGATTAAGCAAAACTTATTAACATGTATAACAAGTGTTCATTTTTTTACCAATAAATTAAAACTACACATTTCAATATTAAATGCTGAAGAATTAAATAAATTTCATTTCAGTCATTGCAAAGGAAATGTAACAAGTATAATTGTTAATTGGGCAAAACATTAAAAACATTTAAATTTAAAAATATTAACAACATGGGAAAACAGCCTCATGGATTAATGCCTTGGTTCACAAATTTAGTGACATAGTAAATGTGAGTTCAATTCCTGGGCCAGGTAGTGCTGACTTAGACTCATTGAAAACAGGGTGGGCAATAACTGAGCTGTATCAAAAGAGAACAAGATATATCAGTGCTTAAACAAAGGGTTCAGTTCAAAATTCCCTTAACTTTACCAGGATCAATAAGCATATGAAGAAGGCCAGAGAGTGCAAAGACTGAAATATGGTAATGATAACAACAAAGATGAGGATATTAGTCTGTGTATAAATAATGTTTGTCCATGTCTATAGTGGGAATCCATTCAATATGTGTTGCCCATCTTTTCTTCAAAGATAGGTAATCCCTCCTTTTCTCCAAGACTGGAAAAAAAACAAAATATCAACAACAATAACTCCTCATTCCAGCAATTCAGACAGCATTTATGGTTATTAACAAGAGAGTCAGCACAAAATGCTAATTGGTAAGTTGTTTGGAAAATAATATCCAATTTTGGAATAGACCTTTTATTTGTGTTCTAATAGATTATTATAAAGGTTACACAAAAATATATTACTCATTCTTAATGATTAAATTGTCTTCTTTGTTAATTTTATATCAATCTCTTTCAAGATTTTGTTCTGAAATACTTGTGTATACATTGAAAAATAGTATTAGGTTGTTCAGACAATAATGTCCAATTTTAGAATAAACCCTCTAATTATGTTCTAATATATTATTATAATGAAAAATATATTATATTCTTAATCTCTTTAACTTAACATCCATGAGAGTGACTCATTACAACTTCGCAGGGTTATATTCTTGGCTGACATGAAATGGGTAAATTATATTGAACCTATTGCTAGGTCTGCTGCTAAGAAAGTTCATTGTGTCTTGCTAGACAATCTTTCTCTCCTGAATCTATCTCACATTCTACCATTCATCCATGCCTCAAATATTGCTGCCACATATGTTCTGATTTTGACTGATTTAAACATTGTTTAAATACATTAATTCATAAATAAAAGTTGATTCTAAAATTGGACATTATTTTCTGGACACCGAACAGAAACTGGATAAAATCCAAAGAAGAATCAGCAATATTGTTGGTCTTGACTTGGCATCTTGGCTTCAATCACTTTCCCACTGCCATAAAGTGGCTTCCCTGTGTCTTTCCTATAAATACTTTCATGGTAATTTTTCAGATGGACGATTTGTCACGGTACCTAAACTTTATGAATTAAAGTGCTGTACTTGGTGGCAAGGTCTCATCAATTCACAGTTGAATTGGCTTGATGTAACTGTAAGTCCTATGTTAACAGTTTCTTCTCTTGCACTTCTTGTTTGTGGAACTCTCTTCCAGCTCCATGCTTTCCAGCCAACTTTGATGTTCAAAAATTTAAATGGAATATCAATCGTTATCTACTGTCTTCTTGATTACTCGTCTATTGTTCTTGCTCCTTAATAAAGTTTCTCCTTTTTCTTATTCTTTCACACTCAGTAACCCTAGTGTCTTAGTGGCTTTACTGAATTGTATGGGTACAGTACAGTGCTGTTTTTTGAAGTTCTGCAGTGAATATAGGAGTCTTGAAGATCAAGGTGGTAGAGGACATCCATCTGCAATTGACAGTCAATATTTGAAAACACTAGTTGAACAAAACCCATAACAGAGTATGAGAGAAATGTCTCAGATAATAGGTGTCAGCCTTCCAACAATATTGGACCATTGCAAGCAGATTGGCAAGGGGAAGAAAGTGGATAAATGAGTTCCACACGAACTCAGTGAAAATCAAAGATGTTTTATGCTGCATCTGCAAAATTCAAATAATCCATTTTTTGATTGAATAATGACTTGTGATGGGAAATAATTCCTTAATGACAATCGTAAACGATCATCTCAATGGCTTTGATCCTGACGAAAGAGCCAAACACTTTTCAAAACCAAAATTGTACCAACAGAACATTATGATGACTGGTGGTCGGCCATTGTCGTTATCTATTACAGTTCTTTGAAATGTAAACAAAGGATCATCACTGCCGAAGTTTACTGTCACAGCAACTAGATGAAATGCACATTCAGTTAAGCAAAATGATGTGGTCCAATTCTGCTTGATGATGATTCTCAGCCGCATGTTACCAGGATGACACTGCAGAAGTTCACTGACTTGAAATATGAGACTTTGCCACATCCACTATATTTCCCTGATCTCTTGCCCACTACTGACCACTTTTTCAAGCATTTTCACAATTTTTTAAGCCAAAAGATATTCCATTGTAAATAAGATGCAGAAACTGCAGAATGTACAGATGTTCTGATTTTAACTAATTTAAACATTGTTTAAATATATTAATTCATAAATAAAAGTTGATTCTAAAATTGGACATTATTTTCTGAACAACCGGATAGAAACCGGATATATCAAAATAAAGTACAGAAATTGAACTATTTGTGAACTTGTGACACCATGGACACCAACGTAGAAGATATTGTTTTATTTTAGTTTCAAGTGTTTTTATTTTATAAACAGCAGATGATTCTTTTCTTTTAAGTAGCATCCACTTTGACCAAAGGTGAATGAGGAAGTAAAAGGGTGCATGAGCAGGTTTTAGAGACCAAGCTGAATCTCACCCAGCACCACACTTCCTGTCTTTACTTCATGACATGTGACTTTCTGACTCCACCTCTCTTATACCTCCACCAACAAGTGGCTTGAAAACCTAACCATTTTAACTGTGATTCTACTTTTATACGCCGATGACCAGAACTTCCTAACTTCCAGCCAAGTGGCATCTGATCCCAAAAGTTTTTATTAACTTATTTTTTTACTCCACTTCCCTTTGTCTAGAGATTTTGAAGTTCTCATTTCTAAAGTTTAATTTCTACATGGTCCTAAAACCTGGCCCAGATAAAATTATTTACCATCAACTTTAATTTGTGGCTGTTCTAAGCCATGATTTGGTTCCATTTTGTCACACATAAAAGTCAAATAATATTAGTTCTGGATATGATGATAAACTACAACCAGCAACAAGGCCTCTGCTCAGGAGATTGAAGGTTTTGAGGAGTGTGGAACCACATCTTAATTGTTGTTATTCCCAGATCCAGTCTGAGCTGGGGTGTTAGCATCTTTTAGAGTCCTAGCTATGAGCAAATAGTGAACCCTCAAATAAAAACAAAACACTAGGAAAGTATAAAAATACATTTTTATATAGTAAAATTACCAACAATACATTTTATAGTAGAATTACCAACAGTATATTTTAATAAAAAAATGATCAACAATACATTTTATCTGTAGTTGAAGACATACAATTGCGATCAGAGTATATTTAGTTGAAGCCATAAAATTGTGTTCAAAATATTTAGATTTCAGCATTAAATAACCCATAGTTGTTGATATGCCACAAACCAAAATCAACCAAAAGCTATTTGCCTGTTCACTACATCAAATGAATAGGCATGAGGCCGAGTGGTTAGAATGTTCATACTCTGACCATGAGACCAAGGTTTGAATCTCATCAGGGTCGCTTTGTCAGGAAGGAGATTTCCTGATGTTATCGAACAGGAGAGGGGATGATCCCAGCATGCAGCGCCTTTGGAAAATGCCTGAAAAGCATACCATGGGTTGACCCAAGTCTTGTGAGTGAAATTGCATAGATCTGGGTGCCATCAATATCTGTGCTAGCACAAAGTCACAAATCATCATGGGTGAGGGGTTCATCGTGCTGGCCTTGTTCAAATTGTTGATCACACTAGATAACGTGCTCTTTCCCAGAAACAGTAACTAAGCATAGTTGCAGTATAAACCACAGATGTGGGTGTTGAATAAACACCAATGTGCCTGAGCAAGCATCTGCAATAGGAATTGACTAGCCACTCTAGTAGACGGATATTTTTGAATACTAATGGCTAGCTATATATATATATATATATATATATATATATATATATATATATATATATATATATATATATATATATATATATATATATATATATATATATATATATATATACATATATATACATCAGATGCAATAAATCATCATAGTAAATTCTCAG